CTCCGGTTACTATCGTAACCTCGGTTCCCTGAGAGCGGGAACGAGACATCACGGAGACACGGAGCCGCTTAGCTGGTCGAGCAGCGAACACGGCGACCTCCGTGATGTCTCGTTCCCGCTCTCAGGGAACCGAGGTTACGATAGTAACCGGAGCGTTCCCTCTCGAGCTTTCACGAGACATCACGGAGATATTTCTCCGTTATGGGAACGATATTCAATCCCGCCGTGAGAGAGGCTACGAGCAGCCTGAACCAGTCACATACTCAGCGAAGATAGAATGCACAATTTCCACAACCAATAGCGACGCTTGTTAGGCGGGCTCACAGCTGATAGGTGGAGATAAGCCAATGAGCGTCTAAAGCCCAGGTATACGAAATTTGCATATCTGGTCAGTAATAATGTATGCTGCGCTGAAAACAGGGCAGTAGCAACAGTACTGTAAGGGGCTGCACAGTCATAACTGTGTTTAGCAGCATAACACATAACATGATAATGGTAGCACGAAGGGAATCAGAAGGAATAACAGGAAGCTGCACTGAGTACAGGGCAGACAACAACAAGCCGGGTCCGAAGCGAATACAGTCACTGTCCACAGAAAACGCATGTAAATCCCCTATGCGCTTAGCCGAAGCGAGGGCAAGAAGAAGTACACTTTTGAGAGATAGCTCCTTCATATCAACGGATGCTAAAGGCTCGAATGGTGGCTGTGAAAGAGCTCTTAACACCACCTCTAGGTCCCAGGGCGGGACTGAAGGCGGACGCGGGGTATGCAATCTCCTCGCTCCCTTAAGAAAACTCACCATCAGCGCGTGCCTACCGATCGATTGCCCGCCCAGCGGGGAACGAAATGAGGCAATAGAGGCCACATAGACTTTCAGTGTTGATGGTAGAGATCCACTATCCAGTCTGTACTGTAGAAAACGCAGAATATCCGACACGGAGCAAGCAGCCGGGTTGATATGAACATCACGGCACCATTTCACAAACACTCCCCATTTCAGAGCATACAAACGCCTCGTGGAGGGCGCCCGTGCCTCCGAGAGTGTGTCGAGAACACGGGAATGCAGGACGCTCAGCTCCTCTGATATCCCCGAAGCAGCCACACATGAAGGCTCCATAACTCCGGGTTCGGGTGTTGGCGGAGCGGTAAGACGACGCTCCCGTCACCGGGAGGGCCCACCAGCGGCACGCTGGCGGCAGTGGGCCTCACCCCGAATAGGCCGCGAGCCACATCGCAGCGGGTCTGGAGCACGCGGGCCGGCAGGTCCGCTCAATGCCCGCAGTCGGACTCGTCCAGCGCCGCCTCTGCGTGGGCCAGGCCCAGGCAGGCGACGCAGTGGTCGTGTTGATCCGGCGGCTCGATTGGTCCCACGCAGATCTTGCGGATTGTTGCCATAGTGAATTCAGCAGGTGAAGTAGAAGATTCTGACGTAATTGTTGCGTGCACCGCATTTTATACTGCCTCTCGAGCTCATCAGTATTTGCATGCGATTTGCAAACTTCGCGACAATTGGCCAGTCATTTGGACTGGCGTTAGCCAATAGGACTTCAAGAAAGGTTGGAAGGGAAGGAGTTCCCATAACGGAGAAATGTCTCTGTGATATCTCGTGAAAGCTCGAGAGGGAACTGATATTGGCCACATTTAATACAACAATGTGAACAGCTACACAAAAAAATCGGATCTGAGAAAAAAAATCGGAATTGAGCACTAAGGCTCGCAGTGTGAACGTAGCCTAAATCATTTACTTAACAGACTCGTTCAAACCGTTCTAACACACGAATCACTAGCGTGAGCTGTTCGGGGACGCGCAACCCTTGATTCTGTATTGGCGGAGCAAAAATAGACCAAATATATATAACAATATGTCTTCAAAATGTAAGAAGATAAATATAAGTTCTTGATTATTTAACATATATAATAGCAGCACCCAAGTCAAGTAGTCAGACTCAGGACTCACTAGGTTTAGCTGTCGTGAGGCACAGTGCTTCCTGTTTTTCGTATCCATGGCGATGGTAGCAGCAATGGATCTTTCCAAAATGAGGAGCTTCGTTCTCTTCCACACTAAACCTCCGGGTGTCTGCAGTGCTCAAAGGGAAACTATAAAACAATGACACAGTGTACAATGGTACATATGACAGCCCCACATTATTTTAGTCTGTATGACGTTAAGATTTAGGGAACAAGAGGCTCTCAATTCATACATATCTACACACCCACTCACACATGCAACAGAATGGCATGCGTCATCTTTATTGATCCTATATGCATTCACAACACAATTAACACCAGCACATGACCAATGCAAACCTGAGCTGGTACTTATTGATTTATTGTCAAGTAGCAAGTTATGAATAACCACGTTAAAATGACATGCAGAAACATGCACAGCTTTCTAATATAATAACAGTGCTTATGAAAGTAATTTCAATGGATGGACCAACAACATCAACTGTTTATGCAAATGGTGTTATTAAACAGAAAATGGAACAGTGCAAATGTTAATACAAAAATGAGAAGCAAATGTCAAGTGTTTACATAATAAAATTGAGTCGATTAGTGTAAACACATTTATTAAGGCAGGCCTCATTGCAGCAGTCTGTAATCATTAAAAGCCCCCGTCCCTTGCCGACTGAACGGATTTCGATGGATTTCTAACTTAACACTTCAGCAAATACGTAATGATCAGTAGCACATATAGAACAGCCGTCACGAGTACTTTCAAGGTGAATTTAAATTAAGTAAAGCAGGGTTTTTGTAAACAGTGAGTTGCTTGGCATGATATTATATAAGTGATTTGCACTTAAAAGTACACTTTCAGACATAATATGCACAAATCTATGAACTAAAATGATAAAATGGGCTATAATCTAGAACAACGCTCAGTCTGGCTTCTGGAAGTTGTTGCATACTTAATTTTTAGTCCATAATTTTTAACAGCTTGGTGAGATGGATCTGATGTGTTAGAGTAGCGTTGGGACAAAACTGAGCGAACTTGCTATAGAATATAAAGCCACAACAGCAGCAGTTACATATACTGACATCCTCTTTCAGGTAGTTTGCTAGTTCTAAATTTTATCGTAAATCATGCAAAACTCTAAAAGCCATCAACATGCAGATTGTCAGAGTCAGACATCAAGGTCTACATATGCTGAATAAGTTTTTAGCATTCAGGATGCATTTGGTCTGTTGAGACATGTCACATGGTGGATGATCACAAGCAACGGATGAGACTCCTGCAGGTGTGATGATGCAGATGGATGACAGACTGTGATTGGATGCGAGCATTCAGCGGTCTATTTTACTAAGGTGAGCAGCTCATCCAAACACTCTTTCACATGCTCAAAGCGCAGTCATAACTTTGTCTCTGTGCACGATTGACACACTCCTGCCACTGCGCTCAATCAAACCGCTCTCACCAAACCCACTACTGCTCGCAGGGGGTCTGTCCACATTGGAGGGTCTAAATCAGACACATATGCACATGCAGGTGAAACACAGATGAGATCAGCCTACATTTTGTGATTTTTTAATTATTTTTTTTACAGAAACTGAAAGATTGGCAGAGGCTTTCAGTTTTGGTAGATAAAATGTATACCTGTGTGGTGGTGGAACGTGTCCCAGTTCCATAGGCTGTATGTATAGGGGAGGGGTCAGACTAGACGGATGTGGTCTTTTCCAGGGTTCCTGTGCAATTGGAATGTTGTGCTTATACTGGAGGGAAACAGAAAAAATATGATTCATATGAGTGAAGCCTCTTGCCAGTTACTTCAGCATTAAGAACTTAGTCGGTTAATATCAGTCTATGTAAAAAAAAAAATAAAAAAAAAACTATCATGCTATGCTCATAATTTTTTCCCCCTGAATGTTATTTGGAGAAGTGAGTCACAAGGCTCAGGTTTTCTACAGAACCCCTAAAGGGACAAGATAATGGGGAAAAAAAATTGTGATGAGAGGAAAAATGTTATTTAAATGCTTTCGCATTCTCTCGCTAAAGTACTGTGTTCTGCTGAGAAGCGCTCCCTTGCAAAACTTTTGCTTGTGCCTTCTCTTGAAAAAAACTTTACATTTCCCTGAGAAACTTTGCGTTTGCTTGCAAAATTTTTGTAAAAAAATAAATAAATTACATATGCGAGTTAACAAAGTTTCTTGGGAGAAGGCGATACTAAAAGCACTGAAATTTATTTTTTTCCCCATCTCATATTAGTTTTCAAATTTTTTGCAAATGGTCTTCAAATATGATGTTCATCTTGTGAAGGACCCTAAAACCTCCCTAAAATATATTCTAGCACTTTTCACAAGAAATATTTCACAATAAATACAGAGAATTGTGACTTACAATCAATATGTCCTACTGTTACACTGTCTATAAAATAAAACAACCATAATTTTGGACCAGTCTTTAAAAATAAAAAACAGATTGAAAACATTAAAAAGATAATTTAATAAAAACATATTCAATTAATATGTAAAATCTTGACAGCCCTAAAACTATTTACAAAATAAAAAGGCCTTAGAACACCAGTCTAAATATCCCTGATGTAGCTACTAAATCCCCACACTTATTTTTTACTGAAATAATCATATACAGGATGAAGGATATTGAAAGAGTACCGGTGTTAAGCTTGATTCAGGGCTGGTCTGTGCACTACAGAATGGAGAGAGAAACTTTGATTACACAATCAAAGCAAAAATAATTCTACATTACTCAAGCACAACAAAAATAACTAAATAAGCATTAAAAAGCATGTTTTTATATCAGAGTGCTCACAATTGTGTTTGTGTGGCTTTACCTTAGATGTGAATGTTTTGCTGGAGTTATGGCTGTGAAAGACAAAAGCAGTCATATAAACATGACATATGTGATGTGATGTGGCACTTATAAAGGAGCATTTAAAGGCTTTAGAGTCAGATGCAGGGCAGACACGCAGATTAAGCATGTCAGAGATGCATTAGGTTGATTATTGAAAGAAGATACGGCACACAGACCTACCCTTGACCATAGACTGGGCCCGTGAGGGATATCTTTTACTTGGTCTTCTCTCAAAAGTGCTTGCTCTCCTGACTTTACCACTGCGTGTGGCCTGATATTCAGTCCTTCCACTGTAAACACAAACAACATGACACTTAAAAAAGGCGACAGTGTAAGTATGTTGCCAGAATAGGTGTATGTGTGTGTATGGACCTGAATCTGAACCGCGAGCCGAGGCGTGTGAAGTCACTGTGGTTGCTCTTGTTGTGGGTTGGCTGTCTGAGCCGGAAGAAGGCGTGGCTCTCGACTGCACACTTCCATAAGTGTTTACACTCCTGAGAACTCGAAAGCTGAAACACAAACGTGTGTTCCTGCTCTCGGCCCTGCATGCACAAACATACATGTGCAAAAGAAAGTTTAGAGCACTTAAAAATATAGAGCACAGGGCTTTCCAAATTATTCATGAATGTTTTAATGTTTTACTATTGTATTTTAATATTAAAATTATTTTATATTAAATTATGAATGAATGATTTAAAAAATGATGTGAAAAACTTACTAAAGTTCAGCTAAATATTTGATTGTTTCTCCCACCTTAAAATGTATTAAGCAATATTAAATTGTATTGTACAAGTATGACTCCACGGCAATAGTGATTATTTTACCAGCTTATGTAAACATATCAACCAAGGCTGAAGGACCCTGGTCTAGAGTGTGAGCACAGATAAGTGAGTGCAATTTTGTGTAAGTAAAACTTACCTTTTCATCATCCTCCACCACCTCTAATGTCAGTCGGTTCTTCTTAAAGTCAAGACGGGTTATTTTAGGCCTGAATGGAAACATTTACATACATCATGTTGAGATGGAAAGTATCAGCCATGACTGAAGAGTCAAGACCCAGCTACTGGTCAGAACAACTGGGGTGTATCTGTGAATCTCACCAAAAGAAGAGACCAATTTTGCTGGACCCCTCGAAAACAAGGATTCCAGTTGGTGTGAGTCCCAGAGCATATTCTCCTCCATCCCGTCCCTGCACGTCAGTATAGAGCACTTTTACACACCATCTCACAAGTATATTACACAGGTTTGACTGAACAGGTATAATAAATACACTACCATTCAGAAGTTTGGGGTGGGTATTATTTTTAATTTTTTGACAGTTCTCTTATGCTCATTTATTATATAAGACTGCATTTATTTGACCAAAATACAGTAAAAATGGTAATATTGTGAAATATTATTACAATTTTAAACAACTCTTTTCTGTTTTAATATATTTTACAATGTAATTATTATTATAATAATTATTGTTGTCATCTATGTTGAGCTGTTGTGCTGCTTAATATTTTTGTGGAAACGGTGATACATT